AGAGAAGAAAGAAGAGAGAGAGAGAGAGAGAGAGAGAGGATATGTTGGTTCGAGGGAAGGAGTCGAGGGGCTTTTATAGAGTGGGGAACCACTTGTGCTGGAACTGGGAAAGGAGCGGAGGGGGACAAGGATACAATGTTTATTTGGATCAAAAGGATGTGAGATATAACATAGGACAGGGAAGGATAGGTTTCCTCTATCCCAACAAGCATCAACGGTAATACATGGATACCACATCCTTTGTTATACATTAGAAGCTTGTCATTCTTACGTAGAACTTTAGGGTTGTTAGTGTGTACACTAATCATTTCTGTTCCTGAATCTGGTGAATGCTTAGGAAATGACAGACCAAACCTGGGGGTTGATTTTTGAGTCAGATGGAGGGCTTCATCATTTGGAAATGAGTAAGCAGATTTAAGATGAGACCTGCGAGAGACTTCCCTGGAACAATTTGGCAAAAGGTCAATTCATGTAGATGTTTAGAGTTGTCAAAATTTCTATTTGTAGATTTCATATCTACTTGTCACCTTTTGGTCTGTGAATCAAGCAATTTATTGGGATCGAAGAAGAGTTTTCTGAGTTGATCGATCACAGTGACTTGCTTGATCGTATGAGATAACCAACAACCCAAGGCTTGGCTTAGTTTAAGAGTCACTTTTAAAGTTAGTTCTCTTTCTCTTATATATAACTTTTGTATGGAGCAATAAACTCAGACTGCTTGTTGAAGCCTCGAACCAATACAAAGTTGTCAGTGGAGATAGCTTTTGCTTCTTAATTAACCAGATCGAAGAATGAGTTAATTGCAGAGCGATTAATGTTCAAGAATAACGCAACCTTTTTTCTTTCTCTTCAATGCTTAATGTTGCTTGCATCCTTATCTGTCATAATTACCCTGTTTGTTCATTGTTGATTAATTGTAGCCAAACACCTCAGCAATTTCCTGAGATCAACACTGACAATTAGGATGCTAAGATGATACAAAGGAGCAGTATTTCAGTTTCTCATCAGAGAACAGATGCTTAGAAAACCTAAACTTGTATTGAAGTTTTCTTTGTGTCACAGCCACCACCACCACCACGACGGGACAAGTGAAGCTGTGGAATGAGGTAGACACACTCATGCATGCAGAAAGATAAAGTCGGATGTACTCTGACATGGTATGCTTCCACCGCAGGATAAGCGGGAGAAATGCTACGATGCTTCCCACGTGAGGGTGGGAAGGCGACGGCAGAGCGCACGAGACTCGCGCCGGCTGACGCTGTCCCCATGCAGAAGCAGGAGCAGGAAGGATACCGTATCCCCGCCATGTGAACACCCATCCGACGTGCCCTCACCTGCCCCTCACCATGGGGAAACGACCTCGCGTCCCTCCTTATTTACCTTTGCCCCTCATTTTGTTCTTCCACATTATAATTATAATTATTTATGTATATATCATTGAACTTTTATATTTCCAAACGATTCATTTGGATACACATTAGGGACTGTAGAAACCAACTCTCATATGTTGGTAGAATATATATATATATATATATATATATATATATATATATATATATATATATATATATATTAAGAATACAGACGATAGGTCTGAAATATTTTGCACATTATGTCTCATTTTGTTGAATGTAAAATGAATTTTGTATGAAAATTGTGTTGCTAATTGGTCGGCAAACATATTGCAATTAACTTGAGGAAAGGAAAGCAGGGATCCATATAGATAGATAGATAGATAGATATTAATGCTTTACTAGGTTGAGTATAAAGTCTAATCATACCTTGATTTGGGGCATCAACAATCCACAAGACTGAAGTCAATGATCGTTCGGTACGACCTTGTGCACCTAATTCTCTCTCGAAAATAAATGAATAATTATCATATTCATAACAGTAATAAATGTATATAATGCGATGTGGACATTCATTCTATTAATGAACTTCATATAGACTTGTTCTTTAACAAAGCTAATACCGATCAGATCAATATCTAATGATGATATTTTCTTTTTCTTTTCACCACATGGAGCTCATCTTAAGATAATTGCATTGTGTTAGAACCCTTGCAGATTCTAAACTTGGGGTTGATCTCTTTAGGGGATCGGCCTCCTTGGAACTCTATAGGGGTTCCTCTCTCCAAGTTG